AAATCAAATTCATGTATCTATGTATAAAAGTTGTTAAAAACAGATTCTAGAAAAAAAAGGTTCCGACTCCACTAGAGATGCTAGAAAAGCCTGGCTTTCTGTAAAAGTTTAAATTTTGATATTTCTTTGTTTCAGTTAATGAAAAAACAAACAACAACAAACAAATAACTTACAAATAACAACTAGCATATTCTCAAACAGGAATGTTTTTCTATTCATTAGAAAGACAATATAACACAGTAATTAGCGTGTGTGTTCACCAAAAAAAAATGGAGGGAAATTTTTCAGTTCACACACGATTACAACCCATAAAACTCTCATTAAGGGAAAAAAGTAACATTAGATAAGACAAATAATCTTAGTACAATATCTAACGCTTGACAATGCTTCATTTTAAAAAGCCAACAATATCGTGAGTGTGTCAATAAAGGGAGGTAAGGGAGTTAATTACAGGGTTGGCACTAATTGACTGTCCATTAACAGCTGAAAACACTATACCGTCGGTGTCACATTTCAACATCAAGGGTACAGTCTAAATTATCTTCCTTTATTCACTATCGACATGGGCTAGTGGGACACTTTGGGCATACTCCCTAGCTATAAAAGCAAGCTGATCAAAGAGAATGTAAACAAATAAATGGGCGGAGAAAGTAATTTACAAAATTTAAATTATTTGTCACATTTTCTTGGGGTCTTCAGTATGTTTAGATGTGAGAACACTTAAACCACCAGATTCCCTTTCACTGGTCAACAATAAAGATGCTGTGTTTGTCCCTGCTTGTTCTATGAGAAAATGTTAAAGAAAACAATGGACAAATGAAGGAGGACACAATAAGACCTTTCTAAATAATTAGACTCAGTTCTAAAACATCTTTAATTATATAGACATCAAGCTCAAAATGTGCTGGGACAAAATTTCTTTGCCCCAGAAAAGAATCAGTACTAATATATAATTAAAGTTTCAAAAAACAGGACAAATACACAGATTTCTTAATTAACATACCAAAATCTTTTTATAATTTTAGTTTTTCCATACAGCTTCTGTATTTTTACAATAAATAGTTAAAATCATATAGCCAAAAATATTACATGAAAGAATAGTGCTCTTATATCAGAAAAGAAGTTATTTGTAAGGAAATTGAAGTTTCATACCAAACCAACAAATTTTATTCATTCAATGACATATTTATTAACTAAGAATTACTGTAGCTTAATTTTTACAGCAAATAAGCTTATTTAACACTTGGTCTTCTGGCAGTAATAGATTTTATCCTTAAGACCAGTGCAGACCAAAATCAGCTGACACTTTTGTAACACGTGATCTTGGTATTATATTCAGTTATTACATATTTGAAATTCTCCCTAAAAATAATTAATGGTTTTATCCAGATTGAAAGATGGTTAAGCCTATTTAAGAAATTTAGGTTAAGGGTTAAATACACATGTGCATGATAATTATGATTGTTTTTATAAAGTGCTAATATAACTATATATTTATACAACAAGAGCTGTCCGTAAGACAGCGCGCTCGACTTTTTTATTGCTTGCCAATAAAAAAAGTTTTTGCAGTAAAAGGCAATACAAGAATCTCTGTATTTTTAAAGTGAACAATGGCCATGAGCATTAAGATATTTAGTGAAGAATTATTTTACTGAATTGTGTGATACCCTTGAACACTGCAGCAAAGTTTGAAATGTTTAAGTCAAAAGAGGGCTGGTAAGAAAGAAAAAAAACTAGTTGTTTGATACCCTTGAATATTACAGCAATGTTTATATGAACATAATTTATGGTAAAGTGAACAAGTGGATAGGAATGAATTTTTTTAGATTTTTTAAGTTTTTTAGTGCTTGCCTATAATACAAAACATTGACAGTTAAGGGCCATAATTCAAATAAAATCTTTGACAGAATTACCTTCTCCTGGACATGTTTGGGAATCATGATTGTAAACAAGTATTCCAACTTTCAAATTAATATCTCAAACAGTTCAGTTCAAAAAGTGGACTGGTACTAAAAAACTTAACCAAGATTCTAAGTCGATAAAAGGCCTTAATTTTTAAAACAAATCCTTGACAGAGTTACCTTCTCTTGCGTACAGATGGGGTAATGATGTGAAATAGCATTAAAAGTTTTCAAAAGCAATATCTCAAAGGGTTAAGGCAATAAGTGGATTTTACCCATATTCAATGTATTTTCTAAGTCAAAAAGGGGCATAATTCTGTCAAAAACCTTGACAGAGTTATGTCCTCTTGTCTGTTGATGAAGGTCGTGATGGTAAACAAGTATGGTCAGTTTCAAAGCAATACCTCCAATGGTTTTGAAATAAAGTGAGGTGGTACAAAAAACTTAACCAAGCTCAATACACTTTCTAAGTCAAAAAAGGGCCATAATTCTGTCAAAAACCTTGACAGAGTTATGTACTCTTGTCTGTAGATGGAGGTTATGATGGTGAACAAGTATGGTAAGTTTCAAAGCCATACTTGTAATACTTCTGAAATAAAGTGGGGTGGTACGAAAAACTTAACCAAGGTGTGACGCCGACGCCGACGCCGGGGCGAGTAGGATAGCTCCCCTTTTCATAGAAAAGTCGAGCTAAAAATAAGTATTCTAACACTATCGGAAATTTTTCTGTATAGACAAAGAAGGCCGGAAGAGTGCATTATTCTACAACAATGCACTCGCCGTTCTTATTATCTCCCTGTGTATTTTCACATTGAAGGCGCCATTTTGTTTAAAAAATCTGATAAATTAAAACAATTTTTGACGAATTTTGTTGTGAAAACTGTCTAGAATGAAAGAAAATGGTCTAACTAAGAAAATTAATTTGAACACCAATATCTTTAATTCAGTCGTTAACGCTGTACAGACGTTTAAAGTGTTGTTTACGTGACGTCATAATGTAGCGCCAAACAGCACGTGCAAAACAATCAAATCAAGTACGCTATTTTAATGTCGCAAACGAGTTTAGTTTTACATTTATTTCACTATTAATAATTTGTATTTCGCTTGGAAAATTATAAACTGAAATAAATAAACAAACAAAGTTGTATAAACGTTTTCAAAATTCGTTATTTTCAAAATGTTTCTACACACGGTTCATTTAACGACAGTATTTTCAACCCACTGGAACGGCCTTTAAAGAACATTTCTATTGGAAACCCTGAGGAGAAAACAAATTCAACCACCAAACATAAAGTCCAACGTTATAATAATAATTATATTTTTTCTTGACGTGTATGAATGGAAATAGATATCAATTCTTCGTGAATTATTGTATAATAATGCACGTTTTTCGTTCAAATGCTTTGTAATTAATCACTCAGGCCTATCGGCCTTCGTGATTATATTACTACGCATTTGAACTCAAACCGTGCATTATTCTACAACAATGCACTCAGAATTGATATCTATTTCCTAAATACAATTATCACATTTTGGCAACCAAATATGTAATGCCACATAGCTTACATGTCAATCTATAAAGTTAGTTTATTCATATTTAGAAGAACAAATATCAGATTTTGATGGAAGTTTCCTAAATTTACATTGAGTCAGTAAAATAAATGCATAAATTATATGTTGTAAGTAATATTTAATTTACAGCTATTTTATCCACTAACCCAGCTTTATAAAGACAACTTTTATAAATTATTATCATATTTTAATGAATATCTATTTACAATAGCAATATTGCTTAAAGAGTAAGAAAAAAAGTAATTATCAGCTGGGTAACTGATATCCGAGTAACCAAGTTATCACCAACATTTGAAAAATATTTAATTATAATAGATGTTAATAAAATTTTTAATTTTTTGTTTTGCTTCACTTAAAGTTTAAAATTTTAGAACATCAAAAAAATGACTGGATTTCTTTTAAAATTAAAAACTGGGACTCGATTCCTTAAATATAAGAAAAGGTAAAAAAAACCCTGCAAAAAATAAATGAATAAACAACAAAAAACAACATCAACTATAAAGATGAAACAGAAACATAAAACAGCACACAAATGTAATTAATAAACATATCTGAAGATGATTTTTATGCTCTGCTTCTCAAAGTGTCTGCCAAATATTATGTTCTTTGAAGAAAACTCTCAAAAAAACCCTAATATAAAAATTATAATAACACAGAGTGAAGCAAAGTTTTTATTTTAAACACGTCTGTGTTTTTGAGACAAACCACAAGTGCATTACATTTAACTGCAAATCTCAGACAATATTTCAATAGGGTCGTGAAGAGATCACAGAACAACAGAATTTTAATCAGTTAATACCTGTGGTGATGCTGATGGAATTCTAAAAATAGATTTGAAAACTAAAAATAGATTTGGAAAATAAAACCATAAATAAAACTAAAAATAGATTTCTATGAATCATATACCAGAACATAATTATGATTCATTGTTGAAACATACAGACAATGGAATTTGTTGAAATTATATTTTGTTTTTGAACATTCTTCTTGTATTCCATTCTATCTAATAAACTGTCAAGATAAAGATGAATTATTTACTGGAAATAGGAAATGGGAGAGCAACATGGAAGACAAAATTTTTAAATATAGCACATTTGAAACCTTATCACATGATATTGTTTCACATACAAAAAAGAATCCATATTTTTTATTTTCTTCAAATATGAGTTTTATACACAGATATATATAGAGGATATTGATTGTCTATATATAATTTACAAAAAATATGTCATACGGCATATGCAATGCAAACACTAAAACTGAAACAGCTGGTGTTCAAAAGTGAAATAATTAAATGGACTTTACTTGTATAACAAACAAATGTTCATCAAATATAATCCATTGTCTTATTTTAAATATCTACTGGAAAAAAACATGTTACAAATAGTTTTTCAAAAGTACATGTACTATAAATAACCATCAAATTTGCATTTTACAAGTTTTGAGGATTCATTAATTCACTTTCACCAAAAAACATAGATACAGTCAAACCATTAGATATAGGTCAGGCAAAGAAAACCGAAAATGTTGGCTTTTTGCACTATATTTGTTCACAAATAAAACAAAGAATTTGCAGTGCAAACCCTGATTATACAAAAATGACTGCAATATAACTGACTTAAAAGGAAACAATACTAAGGAAAATATATCAAAATACAAATTTTAAGTTACAGAATATAAATGTGGTCTTTATCTAAAAATGGTCTTTAAGGACAAGTTTGAAATAAAATCATAAATTTATAACTCATAATGGTTAAAAAATTATTTTGACACCCATTAAATAATGGATATCATTAGAATTAATGCAAAAAAATAATAAATATTAATGATACAAAATGTACAACTGATTACTTGATAAATATTACATTTTTATTTTATATTTAAAAAAGAAAAGAAAAGAAAAATGCAAAAAAACTCTGCATACAACCATTAAGATATCAAAAATGGAATTTTAATGTTTCTATTCAAGTATCATTAAAAAAATCCATTTCAAATGTAAAGAAGCAATAAATAATCATAAGTGACTAAACAGGTTGTTTTAAAATGACTCATAAATCCTAAATGCCAAAAAAAAATGATAGTAAATACTTCAAAATAAACAGAAATAATCAATTATATAAAAACACACAAAAAAGACCCTGTACATAAATAACAATCTGGATATTTCAAAAATTTACATTCTAAATCAAAGGTATTTATATGTAGTTAAAAAAGATATATTTGTAAATTGCAGTACATTGCACTTCATTGCTCAAGGCATTCAAAACCTATTACATCTAGAGATTAAACAGGGCTACAGTTTTTTGCAGCCATAAGTAGATGATAATTATTTTGATTTTCCTTGCAATGAGAATGAAACAGCATATCAGTCAATTAATGACTTTTCCCTATTAAAACACCACAAATTAATAAATTAAAAAAAGTCTATTAAAGATCAATATTCAAATACTTTATAGAATATAATTTTTATATTCATATTTATATACGAGGTAGAAGATGAGATAGCCAATAAACTACAAGGTTTCCAAGAAAATCATCATGTAAAATAGATGCCTTGGTTTTAAAAGTAAAATGATAAAAGCAAAGAATTCACTAATTAAATTATTTGAGCAGAACAAGAGGACTGTGATGGCCTTAAGTCACTCACATGAATAAATGGGCAAGACTCCCTGCTTAAAGGGACTCGACTGAGGTAACTGTTTTTTTGACAAAATATTTTTTGAGATTTTTATGCCTTTTAATGAAAGTCTACAGCAATATCTTGTGTTCCAAATTTCAGATCTTCGCTCTCTCAGTGTTTCAAAAATTATAAAATTTTTAACATAAAGTGACTTTAAACCTAAAAGCATTTAAACACTTTAAACCCAACATACCAGTAAGAGAAATTTAAGCAATCCTAAAAGGTAACCATACATGGTTGCCGAAGGACAGACTGGTTTAAGAAAAATTTAAATTTTGGCTGGTTGTTTTTGAAAGAAATGATATTTAGTTATTTATTGAAATCTGCATATTACAGTTATTAGAGAATAAGTCTATCTTAAAAACTAACCAATAACCTTTAATTTTGGAAAACTAAAATCTTTTTAACTATTAACAAAATTATTTATGATTAAATTACAAAGTAGACTTTTATCATTTTATGATCAAAACTGAACAGATTTTTGCAAAAAATAAAGATAAAAAATAAGTATTCATACATATATCTGGCCACCTTTTTAAGCATAAATTTTTACAAAAACTAGATTTCTCTATTTGATTTTATTTAGCACATAGTGAGCACCAACAATTTGTATCAAGTTGCCATTCTTTATTAACTCTTTATGTTTACAATCATGGAAAGTTGACACATTTTACTAAGCATTGCTTTTACATATATTGTATAAAAAGATCAGATTGCAGCCATACAGTACATTTTCTTCAATACTGTTATCACCAAAAAAGGTTTAACATTAAAAGCAAACACAATAAGATAGCTTAAAGTATTAAATACTTTTTACATTTAACTTTACATCTAGTTACTTCCTCAGAGGAAGTTTTCATAATTCTTGTGGTGTCATGGCCAGCATGTTTGCTTTCCTGTGATATCTGATGTTAATTTCTGCAGGATGCTGCTCCCAAGGTTCACCATCACACTGCATTGGTGCATTACTTCCTATCAAGGTTATCTATAAATAGAAAATATTATGACCTTCACCTCTGTACTTCTTATCAAGGTTATCTATAAATAGAAAACATTATGACCTTCACCTCTGTACTTCAAATCAAGGTTATCTATCAATAGAAAACAATTTGACCTTCACCTCTGTACTTCCTATCAAGGTCATCTATGAATAGGAAACATTATGACCTTCACCTCTGAACCTGACAATTGTTTAAGCAATTTCTTCAGACACAAGGATTGTAATATTTTCGCCAGATCTGCTACAACTGTTCACTGGTAATGAATTTCTTCAACACTGACAGCAATCTAAATTTTATACAATGTTCACTATTTGTGTTAGAATATTATTTTCTGTCCACTGTTACATGTATACTTGTAAAAGCTCAAACGTAACTCTTGCCTGAAATATAATGCAAGAACATCTGCTTGTCTTCTTCAAAAGTAAAAGAAGGTGAACATGACAAGTTGACTTCTGCCAAGTATGAAAGACGTGCAAAATGTTTTTTTATGAATAGGAATAATCATAACGAAAAATGAAATATTATCTCCATCAAGGTCAAGGTGAATAGTTGACTTACCTTGACATTTCTGGCTTGACCTAGTGTTAATGGAGATGCCATGCCGACCTGCAGCTGGGCTATATGGAATGACGAGTACAGTGCCATTACTTCTACCATGCCATCATCATACCTGCAACAGACAAACTTTCTATTGATTCTATATTATATTGACAAATGAAAAAACTGACAAATTTTAAATGACATTGACCGCATTAATGTAATTTGCGCCACAGATTCAAAGACTTTGCATAAAACAAGTGTATTTTTGACGCAACTCTAACAATAGAATGCTATCATACTTAGGTATTAGTTCTCTTTTCTCTTCTTTCACATTTCCACTTCTTTTATGTTTTGTATCAAAATTATTTCCAAATATCATTTATCTATCACTTTGTCTATTGTAACATTTGAGTCTAGCATAAATTATATGCTAACATGTTCAGATTTTGAAAGGCATCATTTTCAGATTATCCTTGTTGTGAAAAGTCTTCGTCCTACATTTTTGGCCAATGAGAATGCTTAAATTTGAAAATTTCTGATGTTTTTTTGATGTTTTTATTTTTTGGCATAACCTGTTACCATAATGCTTTTTTTAACAATTCATTTAAAAATCCCATCTATCTGGTTAATCACCATGCATACCTATGGAAGTAGGTCAACGACTAGGTAAGTTAGATGCTAATAAGGAAAAAATAACCATCAACTGGTTTTTCTCATTAACTTGGGAAGGGGAAAGATTATCGCTAAAATTGCTAATCTGGGAAGTAAAAAAGCTGGTGTAAGGTTACCTTTTTGGAAAAACTGCATGATTTTAAAGAAAATTTCCATTGGGAAGAGGCCTTTTATAGGCTTGTTTTATAAGGCGAAAAATAATTGTTGCCTTTAACAATTACCGTTGCTCCTATATTGCTCCTTTTGAGCTGTTTAAATTGTTTAAAATTCTTTTATAATTAAGTGTCTAACTATTACACAGTATTTAGTTTCTGACAGATTTTTTCATTAAAATTATTTACATAATGTATTAACTTTAATGTTAAAGTCTTGGTCTGAAGATACATTTTCATAAAAAAGTAATATACCACAACACTAGTATTTTTCTACAGCATTTATGTCACCCGCGTTAAAATACTCAATTAATCAACTCATGTGGGTGTCACTTTGCTTGTATTTAATTACACTTTAAAATGGTCATTATACACTCATAATTGTCACAGTAAATTATTGCTTCTGAAAAATTTTTGTCTATCTTTTACAAATATCTCGTAAATTGATCAATATTTAAAAGATTACACATCCATTAAAAAGCCATACAGCTTCTACCTCTAGCCTGATAAAAATCTCAAAATCCAGCAATATAAAAACATTTGCATGATTTACGTAGATTTACGACATTTATGTGTTTTTCTTCAAAATTCATAAAGTCAATTAAGTCTGTTTAGGAACAACTGATTCATAACTAATGAATTTTACTTTGCCACATTAGACTGTTTATGCTTGCCAGCAAATTCAATCATTTGTTTATGGACAAGTGGAAATTTTCAAGAACTAATTATATAAATATCCTATGGAAAAGCTAAGATAAAAATTGGGCAAGCAAGTAAAAATGAGATTTTGCCGGCCAAGATTTATGGACTTCTTTTTTAATCAGTAAAATTTCACTTCCAACACTTGTTAAAAATCTTAAAAATTGGAGTGGTTTTAACCTTTATTGGTTACTGGTGGGACTGAAAGTGATAAGCATTAATGCCATCAGAATAGACCAGCTGGGCTCCATACTGTTGGTAGATCATTTTCCATATTTTGGTGTAATATTGTAGTCCAAATCCTTAAGCTTTGAATGGAATGTTCCATGGGCAAATCCATTAAACAAATTCAGCAGGATAAGTCAGCCCCAGACCCGGTTACAATTTGTGATTGAGAACACCAGTCTAAAAATAGAACTCTGCCATTAGTCGATTTTGAATACAAGGCTAATATGTTTTAAAGTGAATTGGTCTATGATAAAAGGTCTGTAAAACAATAAATAATTATGTTGATAGTATAACACATAAAAAAAAAACAAATCACGAAAGAACTATACATGGAAGTTTTTGGCAAGTGACTAAGATACAGGATCTGATCATTTATGTACAAAGCAGATTATAAACTGTTCTAGAACAAAATATAATTATTCATCTAAAAATGTTCATACTAAATCACTTGGAACTTAAGCAACATTTCTTCTTTCAAGCAATATTTTATAAGAATATACAAATGATACATTGTTATAGTTTTCATCAATATTTGAAATACTTATGGAAATTGTGCCCATTCATGATTGTAGACCAATTCTCCTTAATAAATTTAGGTTAATTCAAGATTTTTTCTTGGGATCTTGTCATTCTAATCAATCTTTTAAATCAATTTGAATTTTAAACTTATAACCTGAACACCTTCACAACTCCCAGTAATCCTTCATATCTGCACTGACATGAACTTTTCACTAATGTCAAATTGTTCCCAAGTGTTATATACATTTCACTGGTCAGGTTTCACAATTTAAAACATGTGTTTGTTATTGTCAGATACAAAATGTATATAATACATCTGTACATGCAAAAGCTTAAAAACTTTCTCACAGAAATGATTTATTCGCCAAATCCTTAGAATAATTGATTGAGACCTGGGGAGAGAAAAAATAAACACAACAACATTTGTAGGGCTGTCAAATTTTGCTATTTGTCTTTAGCAAAGTTTCCCACATGCTTCAAAATAAACAACCCCAAAGAAATAAAATGAAACAAAATACACTATAAAGACCCTCATGCCCTCTAAGTACAAGGTCCAGAAAACATGTACAGCTGCAACATCCTTGATCTTTATTTCATTTCTAGTTTTTTTTCTAGTTTTTGTTTCACAATGAAGGTGGCTCAGTGGTTTTTCTAGAAAGCAGACATTTAACATGTAGATGGAGAACAACTATTAACTGTAGGCACCTGGGTTAACAACACCTGCTATGACACCCATATGAACAATTTCCAGTAAATTTAGTATCAAAGAACATTAAGTAATAATAGGAAACAAAATGTGCATCCACATCCAAAAACTCAAATTAAAGTCATCCATAAATACATCCATAAATACTAGTAATGCTTTAATTAAAACTAGAAATGTGTCCATAGGACACGGATGCCCCCACACGCCACTGTTCTGTCAATCTTATTACTCTAGGTCAAATATTTTTTAGACTACATGTGCCACAAGTTGAAAACTAAAAATCAACAAAGGGCCATAATTCTGTAAAATTTGGTCGCGGCAAAAATTCCTTCCTTTACTACCATCTACACATTAAGGTTGTTCATCCCTGGAAGTTTAAGCAAAATCTGCCATCCGGTTTAAGAGGAGTTGCGTTCACAAAATTTCTACATAGTATATAGTGAAAAAATCAACAAAGGGCCATAATTCTGTTAAATTTGGTCGCAGCAAAAATTCCTTCCTTTACTACCATCTACACATTAAGGTTGTTCATCCCTGGAAGTTTAAGCAAAATCTGCCATCCGGTTTAAGAGGAGTTGCGTTCACAAAATTTCTACATAGTATATAGTGAAAAAAATCAACAAAGGGCCATAATTCTGTTAAATTTGGTCGCAGCAAAAATTCCTTCCTTTACTACCATTTACACATTTAGGTTGTTCTTTCCTGTAAGTTTAAGCAAAATCTGCCATCCGGTTTAAAAGGAGTTGAATTCACAAAATTTCTACATAGTATATAGTGAAAAAATTAACAAAGGGCCATAATTCTGTTAAATTTGGTTGCAGCAAAAATTCCTTCCTTTACTGCCATCTACACATTAAGGTTGTTCATCCCAATAAGTTTAAGCTTAATCTGCCATCCGGTTAAAGAGGAGTTGCGTTCACAAAATTTCTACATAGTATATAGTGAAAAAATCAACAAAGGGCCATAATTCTGTTAAATTTGGTTGCAGCAAAAATTCCTTCCTTTACTACCATCTACACATTAAGGTTGTTCATCCCTGTAAGTTTAAGCAAAATCTGCCATCCGGTTTAAGAGGAGTTGCGTTCACAAAATTTCTACATAGTATATAGTGAAAAAATCAACAAAGGGCCATAATTCTGTTAAATTTGGTCGCAGCAAAAATTCCTTCCTTTACTACCATCTACACATTAAGGTTGTTCATCCCTGTAAGTTTAAGCAAAATCTGCCATCCGGTTGAAGAGGAGTTGCGTTCACAAGATTTCGGGACGTACGGACAGACAGACGTACGGACGGACGGAAAGACGGACGGACAGACGGACGGACAAGTGCAACGCTATATGCTCCCACTTTGTGGGGGCATAATAAACTAGAACTGCCACTATCATGGCGTGAATACCCCCGCATACCACTTTGTCAGGATCAACAGTGGCCATTTAGAGCTCAAGGACAACCTCCCTGCCAAATCTGAGGTTACTAAGCCAGTGCATTGCTAAGTTATGTATTCTACATGCTTCATCTACTAATCATGACTAACCTCCATGCCAAATATGAAGACTAAGGGTCAAAGGAATCTTAAGTTATTCCTAAGTTATTGGGCGGACAAGCTTTTTGAAGTCAAGGCCCCTGTGACCTTGACCTTTGACCTAGTGACCTCAAAATCAATAGGGGTCATCTACTAATCATGACTAACCTCCATGCCAAATATGAAGACTAAGGGTCAAAGGAATCTTAAGTTATTGGGCGGACAAGAAAAAACCGACGGACGGACGGACAAGCTGATTCCAGTATACCCCCCTTACAACTTTGTTGTGCGGGGGTATAATAATTATCAACATTTAGGGACTGCAAACAAGATGTACGTGTCAAAACCTTGCAACACTAAACATAACAATGCTTGATATACATGTACCAATAAATTTCTGTTATGAGGAATCACACATCATACAGTATCCAGTTAATAATAATTAAAATAAAGTAAGCTTAATTTTGGTTGCAAATGGTTAAATTTATTGAATATAAATACATCTGTAAATTACATTATTATATTATAGTTGTTGGTAATCATGTTTAGATTTTCATTAAAAAATAATCAACATTTTTAAGTTCTAAGTACAAATTACATGTTCATAATTATTAACTTTCAAACTTCCTTTT